TCAGTCTTATTCAAAGAAAAACAGTTGTAAACAATATATTGCCCAATAGAACGGGGAAAACAAAATATACTGTAATGAAAGATTGAATTTCACAAGTTCACAACACTACTTACTTAAATTGGTGCGAAAAAAGTCAAATAATAACTTTTTGGGTGTGGACGTTCTGGAAGGTAGGTAATTAAAAAAAAATTGGAGTAAATAAATAAAGAATCATATTCAAAAGAAATACAAAGTGTGTATACAAGCGGTGAACGCTTCTAGTATAGTCGAATAGGAAGGCACACGCAGTACACAACTCACACAGAGAAGCAACGAAGTGTGTAGTATAGGGGCACGCACAAACATAAGAGTGTGTCATGGCGCTTGCCGTCACGGCATACGACTTGGTTTCACTGCCAAGGCGCGCCATTAGATGTTTCATATCAAATAAGGTTATTAATATAATTAGTTTTTTTTTCATAGCAGAGGGGCCAAACGAGCATGCGGCTCACCTGATGATAAGTGACTACCGCCGCCCATGAACAACTGCAACACCAGGGGAACCAGGAGAAACGCAGATGCGTTGCCGGCCTTTTAAAAAGGAGTAGGCTCTTTTCTTGAAGGCCCCTAAGTCGTATCGGTCCGGAAAAATCGCTGGTGGTAATCGATTCCACAAGGAAGTTGTGCGAGGAAGAATACATCTTCTAAATCGCACAGTGGTGGACCGCCAATCATCCAGATGGTGTGGATGGTATCGGGAGTTCTGCCGCGATGTGCGTTCGTGAAATTTGGTGGCTGGGATTAATCCGAACATTTTGCCAAACCAGCTAACTGTTCATGTGACGGTAAAGTGGCTACTGTAATAGATCGTCACTATCAGCCCGTTAAAGTCCATTAACAGACTTTGCAGGCACTTCGCTTGGCAGGCGGAGCAACAATTGCAGTACCAGACGTATCGTACCTGTGACATTTTTACATAGAACCACGCTCTCACAGAGTACCAGCGGGAAACGGCTAAACCATACGGTTGTATTTCATATGGAGAGTGTAGACAAACGGAGACCCTTTTTCCTGGTAACGAAGCATTTTATACGTGGTAGAGTTACGCTGCAGTATTCTATGGCAGCAGCACGAATGGATCGCTGGGGAAGGACCATACTCGCACAGGCTATATACGTGAGGTAGGAACATATTGCTGCTGTCATCTATATTCCGTGATGTTGGCGCTGTAAGCCTATGCAACTCTTACAGCTTCATCTGACACAGGGCTACTGCAGCTAAATGCTGCTGTGTTTCGTATAGTGAGTGAGTGAGGCATTCTTCCTATTCTCTATATTCTTCGTCAGGGGTGTCAGCGTATCTGTATTTTGATTCTTAATTGAAGATAGATAAAGGTGTTTATGCATTCACCATCAGGCGTATTGTGTGTGCTTGCTTATAACTCCTACTTCTACAAAAAGTAGTATTTACAATTGCAACTAACGGTTTCATTGGTGCCAGTTAAGGGAGAACATGATTTGCACGCGTTAACATATCCTCTGAGTTATCACGGCTCTCCTACAACCTACAGTTATTAGAATTTATTGTAATCCATTGCATATTTTCATTTAATTGTTAATTTATTCAAATTTAATTAAAATTTAAAAAAACCACTTATAAAAGTACACTGTTGAATAAAGGCCTCCCATATAGATTGTCACATAGGGGAGATTTTGCAGTTGTTGAAAACGTTTGGCAGGCAAGTTAACAAACGCAGTTAACAATTTCGAGATGTTATCAGGAAGATGCAGGCTATTCATTTCCTGTTTTATTTATCACTTTCCCGTCTTACCACCCGAGATGATATAAGGAAATCTTAAAATATTTATTATTTGATATTGAAACGCGGACATTTTTATATAAAACGTAAGAAGTGACAAATAAACTTATAATCTACCTAATGCTATATATATTGCTACTACTATACTGCAGTCCAGGGACACATGCAACTAGCTACAAACCGGATTCTACATTAAAAGTTGCATCCATTAAAGAACCAAAGATGTACATATTATGTCATTTTGCATTTTCTCTAAAGCATTTCCCGTGTTATGATGAGAATAGACAACGAAACTGTTGAGGAACCGTGTCTATTCCACGAATAGATCGCTTAACTTCTTAAATATAACTTTTGATTAGGTAACTTATCAACAGTAGTTCCTAGAGATAAACTATGTTGGCTTTTCCCTTTTGTGTATATTGTACGGCTAAAAGCCAAAGTGCGGTTACACCTAGGTTTAGCCGGCTGCTAGTAGGTACAGCCTATTGCGATTGGTTAATCTTAGGTGTATCATATATAATTTATAAATTCGATAATAATTAAAATTTATAATTTGTGAATATTTTGTGATAATTAGTGATAATTTGTGTGAATTATGTAAGGAGTCCAAATACACAAATAGGGTTATATTATGTAAATGTAATTATCAGAATTTTCCATTTTAATTATAAAAAAAAATCTTGTATTTACGTACTCGTAGTGTGCACACCGGAAGGTAGAATATGGCTGTATTTTTGTTAAATTATTAAGATCTATTTTATTTTATTTTTTTAATAAATGTCTGCGGTTTCACAACCATACCTTAACCTACTGTCGCTGATATTACTTGATACGTATATCCGTGTTTTTTACAAATTTAACAGTACACCTAAATTTAACCAACTACTGCTGGCTAACTTAGCTCTAGCCGGCTAGAACTAGCTGTAACCGCACTTCGGCTTTAAGCCGTAACATATATAATTCATATAAATCAGACCGGTAGTTTTAAAAATAAAATGACTAAATACGTACTAAATTGTACTTATTAACGAAAATAAGTACAATTTAGCGTGGACTTTCATTCAAGATAATAATATAAATATAAACATGAATAAAAGTTCCTTGAAAACTTAATATGTTTCTTTGCCAACATAATATGAACTTTCATAAAAAAACTTGAAGATTATTCCTTTCGGAGTATAACATTAGAAAGCAGATGTAAAAATTTAAATTATCAATCTCACATGCATGTATGTAGTCCTTCTTTTCTTTTAATTATGAAACGAATCTATGGTGACTGTGTATATTTAGGCTTTACATTTACTAATCCGATATGCCAATTGCCTTGGGCAAAACTCGTTCGATATAAGCAATATAATCGTAAAATAATCAGGCTCATTTTTGAAAACGCTGGTACCCAGCAGTGGATTAGAAAAGCTGTTAAAGATAAAGATGAAAAAACCTTCTAATAACTTTAAAGAAGACAAAAGAGCAGGAAAGACTTCGCTTCGTAATTTTAGTTCATGTAAAAATAAAATATTGTTTACATTTCAGACATGCAGGTTTTCTACACTATCTTGATTATCATAAAACAGTAATTTTTAACAGAGTTGATTCGTAGAGCATGCCATAAGGCATTATGTGCACTCTTTATAACCCCTAGTTAAAGGTGTTTGTAATAAAGGATAATTATTTAATAAATAAATGATTTTTGGTACCGGGAACCCAATAAATAGATTTTTTGATAACGTTGAATAATAAAAGGGCAGATTTTTTTTTAAATCGCGCATATTAAATTTAGGTTTCGCGCCAAAATTAGCAAAACGAAACACTCAAACACCTCGGTGTCTGCCTGCATGAGCCTGACTGTCACAGTTATTATTCCCCAGGGACTATTTTCCATTAATGCAAAATTAGACATTCTTACGAATAAAATATCAGTCAATAGGAAGTTAGTTTTTTGGGTCGAACAGACATAATATAAAAGCTAGAATCACAGTTCACAGAGTCACAGCACACCCATTACAAATACAAACTTTGCAATTGAAATGCAGAAATGTTGTAGAAACATGTCTCTGTGGATCCGATGAATAAATACATTATTACCTCACAAGTCCACAGTTATACCACAGTCTGAAGTTATACCTAGGCCTCTTACAATGAATGTGGCATTCAAAATACGGTCCTGCCCCACCTGCATTTCACACCAAGTCGTTACTCCATCTAGTGGGGGCCGCTATACACATCGCTTACGGCTACGAGTTGGTTGTCGGATAATTGGGCAAGGAAATATCCGCCGCGCTGCTACAATGCGTGTTGGCGAACTGCACATGTCTTCGAAATATTTTTTTCTTATTTCTCAGACATGCACGATGGTTTCCTTCACCGCCGAGTATGTGGTAAATAAGCACTTAAAACGCATTTAACAATTCAGTTGCAATTAATAATTTCATTGGTGCCGGCGGGGATCGAACCCGGGCTGCTCGCGTACTGTGAAATTTACAACGAACGTTTAGCCCCTGAGCTACCATGGCTCTCTCCTATTAAAACCTATGTTTATTCTCGATTAAAAAGCAAACTTCAAACCTCTCGTTACAGAGTATAATATTCTTTGCTGCAGTTCAGCCTCTGAGGATTAAGAAGATGAAATGTCTCGAAATACAGCAACATTGTGTTGAATAAGATTTTACACATAGCAATAATATGTCCAATGTCTCCTTAAATTTAGTTGCCCACTGCTCCAGGCAGGGCTGGTGAGGTGATGAGCAAAGTGCTACCGATTCCTTCACATTGGTAATGCTGCTCTATCACCAGTCATCATAGACAAATTGGGATTAGAAATTAGGGCTTTCGTCCTTAGTCACTAGAGCCTCGTTTGTCGTTTGTAGGATGCACGTGAAGTTAGGAAAAGTAGTTACCTTGCACCTTATGAATCATAACTTATCCAAATCATACACAATCTGTTGGGTCTATATTGAGTCGATGGTAAAATTCGATCGGATAGAAAAGAAAAAAAGTATGATAAGTACAGCAATTTTTCCTTCGTCTTTATTCTAGTTTTCCTTTTTATCTGTTAGTACACAAAATACTTAAATCGGACTAATTAGAATTTGTTTTAATCAAAGGATTTTCCTTACAGTGAACTGTGACCTGCTCTATAGTCTGCAATACTAATGACATGCGCAGAAAACTTATCAGTATAGCTCTGCGTGACCTGTTTATCATTAACGAGTAAGGCACGGCTAAGAGAGCCCGCCTTGTCGAATTTTCTAATATCCCGCCTTTTTAAAAATAATTAATTTATTGGTTGTAAGCACTTGCGTTAGTTTAGTTAGTTTTTAACAAGAACTATGACAGTGATATTAATTGTTCAGGTTAATTGTGGACTCGTAAATTGTTTTTGAGTTCGAGAAAGTTTTTATTACAATCATGAAGTTTTTGGCGGTGTTCATAAGTGTGCTGTATTTTGTATCAAGGAATTTGGTCGTCGGTAAGTAATAATTCAGATTGTCTCACTAGTTACATTTGTACAAATATGAACATCTGTGTTGCGAAGGCCGAGCGATTCATAAAGTGTCAGCATCTTCGTAAAATATATTAATTATTACCCTTATCTTATGTAAATTGGTACAATTTCGATGATTGCGTTTTCAATAGAATTAGAATACAGATAGGATTCTAACAATAACATTTTCAATAAACTTTTAGGTAGGTATCTAATACAAAACTAAATAAGTACTGTTTAGCTCGTCGCTGATCGTTGCTGTAGCATGTACTACTATTTTTGATGAATAGTGATAATACATCAATTGTTTTGCGTTTTGTGAAAAATGCTTTTTTTGTTATGGCTAAGTCAACATAGAAAATTAAAAAAAAAACCAGATAGGAAACCTTCCTCGTGTCTTGAACTTTTGGTACCTAGAAGAAATTAATAAATATCACACCTAAATAATAGGTTTTTTAATTTATTTTTATTTTCATTGATAATGCTATTCTTGCCAGGTATATTATTATCTACGCTGTTTTTTTAAGTCTTGAGATAACCATTACAAGTAAAGCTTAACTAGAACTAAAGTGTCTAAGAAACTAAAGAGTCGTGTAATATTTTATCTAATGAAGTATATAAAAGATACGATGATTCAGTTCTTCTTGTTATTTTTTTATTATTCCTTATTTAAATCATCATTATTTTAGTATATCACTATATGAAGATTTTTCTTTTTTAAACATTTTATAACGTAATATTTTCTTACCTCTACAATATTACATGCACAATTACACACACAGTTATCTGCTAATAGAGTTATTTGAATTACAAAAAAATTGTATTTCGATCTATTTGATTATGCATTGTGCTATTACAAAAAGCGAAAAATGCTTTTATAGTTTTTGTACATACATATCTTAACGCCTGTAATCCCCGAGTGAGTAGGCAGAGCCCGAAGCAGAAGCGAGCTACTTTAATCACGTTAAGCCAAAAATTATGAGTTTAGATGGAATATTATAAAAGAAGTTAGACAGTCTATTATATATTATTATAATTATTAAAAAAGTTTACAAGCAGGGAGTTCAAGCAGCAGAAGAGAGCAAAAGTTTAGTACTCAGAGGTGACAACGCATGTAGAACCAACCTTCTTTGTTAGAAGTTGGTTGTAGATGAACATGGGCTGCGGTAACCATTTACAATCAGGTGGACTGTGAGTTCGTTTGTTACTCTAATTTAATAAAAAAAGTGATAGGTAGGCTAGCCCATCGCCTAAACAATCAGAAACTAAATATCTCATTTTGCTGCCTTTTAGGACATGTGAGGCAAGTAAAATAGTTGGCAAATTATTTTTTGTCATGCGTCCCACATAAACATGAGACCTATAAATCCCAGGTCAACATGAGATCCTATTTGAAAATTTTGTGATAAGGGATATATTTACATTTAGTAGTTTAGTATTAAATATATTTATTGGCATACGTCGAGCTTTTAACAGTTTCGTAAAGTATTTTTATGGATTGAATTTAAAAGTTTATACTATATCTTGTTTAACACTCATTCAATTTATGCCGTCTAAAATTGATGATTGAAATTATGCATGCATGTAGCTAGAGGATTTGGGCTCGTCAGAGTTCGTAATCCTGTCGCAAATAGGCCTTTATAATTCAAGGTGACTTTAGGAACCATAAACCAGTAAAACACATTAAATTAAGTTTTAGCATAATAAGGTTATGTGGATTTTATTTATTTAAATTTATAGCTTTATGCTTTTCTATGCTGTAAACAAAATTTAATTTATTGATAGAACGAATTGGAGAATTTAACTTTACGGAAATAGGAACGTTAACTTAAAGATGTGAAAGTTAATAATTTAGTTGTCAGTGTATTTTCTGTTTCTGCAACCACCGTTATGAAAGGAAAGTTTCTAAGCAGTACCTACTAGCTAGTGTAGAACCTACTCCATTTAAATGGAACGATAATCTGATAGCATGTGCGGGAAGTCGATAGATTCAGGAGGCTAAGGACCGCGTTGTTATGATGTTAACAAATGTACTTCCAGTTTCTTTCGTTCAGTGCTTAGGTTGCCAACCTAACTTTTTTTGACTGCCTCGTTGGTCGGAGGAAAATTAGTTACTGGATTTTTCTGTAAGAAATTTTCAGTAGTAGCCTGGAAGTTGGCGGTATTTCACCCCCGTGTCCCGGGAAGCACGTAAAGCCATTGGTCCTGCGCCAGATCTCTCCCCGGTCGTGTCGGATTACCGTCTTACTGGACTATGAGAGTGAGGGAATAGAGATAGTGCACATGTCCTTGCGCATACACTTGGGCACTATTAATTCTTTCCCTCGCAGATGGCTAGTCTCTAGAGACCGCCAGCCGCAATCGAAATCGGTTTAGAAGACGTTATTATTTTTATTAGGTTGCCAAATTTTTATTCACATACTGAGCGCATATCAAAAAGGGAGCTTTATTAGGCTTGATTATTGTCTTAAATTTTCCGGTCCGGTCGCATCTGGATATAATTTGACAAATCCCCTTGCAGAACGCCTAATGTCCCGGGTATCATTAAACAATAAATCATTTCCGAGACATTATCCTCTCATTATAATGATTATTAAAACGTTTTAGTGTCCCCATAGATTGACACATAGGGGGGATGCCGTGTAGTGGCGGTGTAAGAATATCCACTATCCTATATCATCCCGTGGGTGTCGTTGTCGTAAGAAGCGACAGAGGAATATCAAACCAGAAGATGCGCAGCATCTTCCTGATATCAGCGGAATAAAAATAAAACTGGGTTTCTAACCTGCTTGCCAGCGTAACAACCGTAAATCTAATACGACAACATTATAAATTTTTGTAAATGTTGTTTAAAACTGTTTTCATATTATTATTTAAACAATCATAAAGACGTGGTAGAGCCACGCTGCAGCTATATTGTGGTTGTATCACGATTGGGTCAGCTCGGCCGGAGTAGGACCGTGGACCATCTCACCGAATACCAGCGTTATAGCAACTTAATGCTGGTGTTGAATTAGTTTAATTTACTTTTTTACCGCTGAAGGGACTGCAGCACCGCCCAAATTTCGACGGAATCAAAGGCTTTCTCATAGTCCAGATACGCCAGACATAGTGGCAAATTGTACTCTTCGGACTTCTGTACAATTTGCCGAAGGGTATGTATGTGGTCTATGGTGCTAAAGCCCTTTCGGAAACCAGCATGTTCGGGAGGCTGGAAGTCGTCAAGTCTGCGCGCGAGACGATTCGTAATGACTCTCGAAAACAGCACGTAGACGCGGCTCAGAAGGGAAATCGGTCTGTAGTTCTTCAAGAGAGCGTTGTCACCTTTCTTGAAGAACAAGACCACCGCACTTCTGCTCCACGCCTCCGGTGTAATGCCACCATGGAGGACGGAATTAAAGAGCTTCTGAAGGACTTCAAGTATCGGTTTTCCACCCGCTTTCAGAAGCTCCGCTGTAATTCCATCCTCGCCTGGGGCCTTACCGTTTTTAAGGTGCTGGAGAGCCATTCTAATCTCGCTCAGACTGACATCCGGGATATCTTCGGAATAGTGTCGGATAAGACTCGCTCTTTGATCGTTACTCACACTTGCGTGTGGCTCCAACGATGACGTGTACAACTGCCCATAGTATCTCTCAATCTCACTCAAAATCTCAGGTGTCCCGGAAACGATGCTGCCACATTCTGTCTTCAGCTTTGACAGTTGGCTCTTTCTGGCAGACAGATCTCTGGCAAAGACTTTGGAGCCTTGGTTCCGCTCGATCGCTTCTTCAATACGAGCTGTATTGAAGTTGCGTAAGTCCCGCCGCATGCATTTGGAGATCTGTCTGTTCAGATGCCTGTATGCTGTCAAGTCTGTTGAAGAATGTAGCTTCATCTCCCGTCTAACAGCCATGAGATTAAGAGTGTGATCGGAGAGTTTTTGTGTTCTTCTGCGGCGGGTCTTGCAGAACTTAACTCCGACCGCATGAACAGTTTCCACGAGCTTGTCATTCATATCGTCCACTTCATTGCAGTCTTCTAGGCACTGAAAACGGTTTTGTAACTCGAGCTGAAAGGACTTTCGATTAGAGCACGAGGGGGACGGAGCGTTGACTTCATTAGACGAGACCTCTCCAACTTAACGTTTAGGTTCAGTGTGCCTCTAACCATTCGGTGATCGCTGCCGGTTTTCACCCTCGCGATCACTGAGACATCACTGAACAGTTGTCGTCTGGTCGTCATAATGAAGTCAATCTCATTTTTTGTCGAACCGTCGGGGCTCGACCAGGTCCACTTCCTGTGGGGCCGCTTCTGGAAGAAAGAGTTCATCATAAAGAGTCCCTCTTTCTCCATGAAGTCGGCCAGCTGCTGGCCCCTTGGGTTCCGTTGCCCTATTCCAAATTTCCCTACTTTCAGCTCACCGTTCTCTCTTGTGCCTAGTTTTGCATTAAAGTCTCCCATTAACACCGTATATTGGGTTTTGGAGGAATGCATGGCATGCATAGAGATATCCTCATACATTTCCTCCACCTCCTCATCGGGGTGTGCCGAGGTTGGTGCGTAAACCTGTATGACCTTCAGCGAATACCGTTTGGTGATTCTGAGTATAAGGTACGAAACCCTCGTCGACACACTCCCGATCTTTACAACGTTGTTAACGAGAGACTTGTGGACGATAAATCCGACACCTCCTTGGGACAGATGGTCACCCTCCCGGTGATAGAGCAAGTTGCCGGATTCGAGGATTACCGTGTCCTCCCCCTCTCTTCGGACTTCGGATAATCCTATAATATGCCAGCGCAACTTGTCTATCTCTTCTTCCAGCTCCACGATCTTCTCGTCAGTCCTCAGGGTGCGTGCGTTGTACGTTGCCAGGTCGAGTCGTCTAAGGTGGCAACCGAACCTCCACCGGAGATTCTTAGCACCCCCTGACCCGCCGTTACCATGGTCGCCACCGTAGCCAGGAATAGCGGGGCCGCCGGGGACTGGGGGCCGTTTCTTTG